ATGGGGAGGAAAGGAGCCAGCTCCCTGCAGCGGCTCCCTCTCTGAAGTACGGGCCTAGCTTGGTCAGTTTACTTTTAATGTAATTTAATTTTACACAATCATTTATCGTTAGAGTAGAAGGTTGGGTAATCCTTCTAAATGTTAACGACGGGTTTTTGTTTGGCTGGCTCTCCCAAGCGACACTGTTGCAAGCATCAGCAAGACTATCCTGCTTTGGCGGGAGAAATTGTTGTTCAGAGGAAATGCCCTTGTAAAACGTGGAAAAAAAAAACAAAAACAAAACAAAAACCATAATAGAATCATGATGCCTTGTAAAAGCTCTGCTGATCATGAAATGGCCTTTTTCATGGAACCTGCATTAACAGGAGCCATTCGGTGTAGTGTTCAACTTGGGCTATCCTCAGAAGCCAGAAATGGCTAGCAATTGGAATAATGGGAATGGTGGTCTGGAAATAACTTGGCCTGTGTGCCGGCCTCGGGCTGCAACCTGGTATCCCACAACCCCAGCAGGACCCACTGAGGACACTGCTGTCATTAAGAAAACCATCACGACCCTAGGGTGACCTCATGCCTTCCTTTACAGGGTCATCCTCTATTGCAGGGGTCTCAAACTCGCGGCCCACGGGCCAATGGCCGGGACGGACGGGGCATGGGGGAGGGGCCCTGCAGCCTTCAAAGCGCCAGCAGCGCCCGGGCCGGCCATGGGATGAGCGGCCCACCACCACTGTGGTGGTGGAATACTTGATGCGGCCCAGCCTCACCCAGACTCTACTTCCAGCGGCCCCCAGGGAAGTTGAGTTTGAGACCCCTGCTCTATTGGGAGGCATCCCCAATTTAATGGCTTCCCAGTTCACGGCCAGCTGACCGAGCAGAAACACGGGTCATCAGGCCATAATCATCACTACTACAATGACGGGCATGGTATTTCTATTCAAATTATAATTATTTCTAAATTTGCATCTATACATGTAAATTAGAACAGATGGTCGATTCCAAGCTGCACCCTCTTTTAACGGTGGTGCTTTCCCCATTTTTGCAGAGCTCATTTAGCCGCACCCTTCTTCCCTGATCCTGTGTTTTTCTACATGAGACCTCACAAGTGGACTCAGCTTCAATTTGAGAGCCACCATGACCATCATAAGCCCTGCTATGGAAGCCCCACAAACCCTCAGGAGGCCCAGACTGTCAGGAGGCCCAGCAAAAGGACATGAGCTCTGGAGTTGGCCCTGAAATAATGTGAGTGTATTATGGCCATAAATGCATTTAGAATCATGGCACTGCAGTGGCTTTTGAGAGCATCCGCTCTAGCCCCATGCTCAAGGCAGGCTGTGCCCTACAAGATGCAGTGCCAGTACGACATCCTGGGTATCAGGCCATCCTGTCTTGGCCTAAATGCATCCCCCTGCCCCCCACGAAAAGGAGAACCCACCACCTTTGGAGGCAACCTGTTCTACTGCTACGCAGCTTTCACTGCTCAGTTTTCTTTGAATGTTAGGCCAAATTCTGATCCCCAGCAATTGCCAGTGTTAGTTCTAGCCCTGCGCTTGGGAGACACAGAGAGCAAGTCTGCTCCATCTTCTGGCTGACACGCTTTGATACTGAGGACCAACCCAACATCTCCCCTTGCTTCGTTCCTCCAGGGCTGACAGTCCTGGGCTCTTTCAGCTATTCCTCATGTAACTTGGTCTCCAGACCCCTGGCCATCTCGGTTGCCTTTCTCCAGGTTTGCTCCAACATGTCAAGGTTCTTCTTAAAAAGGAGTACCCAGAATGGGGCCCAAGCACTCCAAATTCAGCCTGACTGGTGTGGAATTGTCTCCTAAGACGTCTAAGCCCTTTTCACAGGCAGCACTGCCAATCTCAGTCTCCCTTTCAGCACTTCAGATTCTTTTGGGACCAATATGTGTTTTTTTTTCTTCTTTGTCCAGTTCCTTATTACATCCAGTCTGTCTTGAGTGTGGGAAACAGAGGCATGTAAAGTTCATTATGGGTACCACATATTTAGGATACTTCTGGGTCACACTTAAATCCTAGATGCTACTTCCACAGAAATCAGTGGGGCTTATTTTGGAGAAAGGAAGGCATGGGATTAGATTTGCAAGGGAGTTAGAATTTGGTTAAGTATTGGCCCTGCCCTAGATCAAAAAGTAGATCAATACAGATTTCTCATCCCACTCGGGTTAACAAAAGGGCCAAATTCAGTCCTATGGAGTCCTAATCTAATCCTACGGGAGCCCCCAGATAGATAGAGAGATAGAGATAGAGATAGAGATAGAGATAGAGATAGAGATAGAGATAGAGAGATAGAGAGATAGAGAGATAGATAGGCTTCCTTTCTCCCAGCATCTTAGACTGCTTAACTCCACCCTCAGAATGGGTAAACCACAATGCATAGTCTGTAGGGCTCAAAATAAAAGCAACTATGGAGAAGAAGCCCCCACTGACATGGGAGTCACCAGCCTCTCCTGGTGCTTTCCCAGAGGTGCCTTATTCCTCCCCTGCCATGTTTAGCTATCCTTTCTCTGTATCTGCTGTGTGTCAAAAAGGCTGCAAAAAAAAATGGTGATCAAAAGGAGCAGAGGAGCAGCTGGGCAGGACGTTCAATGAATAGTTCTCTCAATATTTGGTACCTTTTAAACCTGGGCAGTTTATCAGGTCCAAGGGTCAAATTCTATTCTGGAGAAGCTCGGGCTGAGGGGAATGTGACCCAGTGTTGGGTAGGTCCAAAAACACAATGGCCAGGGCCAAAAATCCCAATGTATTTTAGTGTTCACTCCCAATAAGCCTTGGGAGCGACATCTGGACTTTTTCAAGCCCAGAGAGGAGGGTCTGCAAAAAGCTAAGAAATGAGTGAATGGGTGGTGACTGGGGAAAAGAGAAGGAACCCAGGAGGGCCCAAAGCCACAGGAGGCCCTCACGTTTTGTACCCCTAATGGGTTGCTGGTACAAATTAGGCTGGAAGTGGGAGGACGTCGGCTGATATCAGAGAAGCAGTAATGGGGGATGGGCATATAGCTAAGAACAAAATGCGAGGAAGATTGCACATCGTAAACTCCTGTTATCAGCTGAAACTTGCAACTAATTAGGAAGCTCTATAGTAAAAATGGGCAGATTTCAGGGTCGCGGGATCTACAGACACACACTGGAATCCCACACAGAGCCAAGTGCAAAATCCGTACCCTTAAGAGTTCAAGAACAGGTGGCTTCTGAGCATATCCCGAACTTGCTTTCACCACCAGAACTCAACAAAACACACAGACAGTCCTTCCACACACGATCACCCGCCCAGGCTGTCTTCAGATCAAAGTCTTATTTAGCAGGGAAGGGTCGTTTTGTTGTTTCCTTTTGTTAATGGACTGGGGGAGTGAGAAACCTTTTGCCAACCTCTTCTAAAGCACCCACAGATTTCCCCAGGGATCCCATGCTCTATGAATGCAGAGAGGTGCATCACATGACTCGCATTTGTGTTCAAGTGACAGGAGATTTCATTAAACACCCCTCAGGGCCACCTTGCATCGTTAAGAGTGACTGCTGGGACCGTGTCGGGACCAGGAGCTCCTTGGTGAAGCAGAGGATGGGCTGAGGTGCTCAAGGACAGAGAGAGATCTGAATTCTGTACTCACTTATTTCACTGGGCTGCCAATGTTTTTGTTTTCAAACCACGCTGTGCTACTCTCCTCTGACACTAGCTTTATCTGCGGATAAGAACAAGGGATCATCTTTCCCACCTTGAAGAAAAGGCTGCACTGCCTAATTGTTATAAACTGAGCACCAGACAAAAGAAGAGCAGGCCAGACAACTTGCTTCTGGTCAGCTGGTAACTACATATCTATGCTACCGATTTAGACTGGTTTATATAATTTAACAGCCAGAGTCCCCCATTAAGTGACCTCCACCCAAGAATTCTGAACACCGTACTTTGGTGAGGGCACTGAGGCTCAAATGGTGCATTACAGGAAATGCATGCTATCCACCCAAACAAGGCAGTGTGGTGCAGTGGTTAGAGTGCCTGAGTCAGGTTCTCATTTGCCTTCCTGAGCTCTGAAGTTTTCTGGGTGAGCTGGACCAGTTACTGACCTGGTTTGCACATAACAAGCCCAAGTTTAGGTTGAGTATGGATTGTTGGATCATGGGCTGCCATCGAATCATGGGTTCTGTTACACATGCAAACTCTGAACTATGGTTTAAAGTATGCATTGTCAACCACGAGCAACCCAGGATTCTTCCTTGATGGTTCATGGTTAGCAGCCACAGTGCAAGGAGACGCTGAGGATGGAGACGTGCCTTACATGATGATGTTCCGTTCCTTAAGAAACGTTTCGGTAGTCTCTGGATGCCAGGACTGGCTTGGATATTGGCCTAGGCTGCACTGGTCATCTGGAGCTAAGCAGCTGCTCCTCTGTCTCAGCGTCCTGGCTGCTGCTCAGGGCAGGGACTGAGAGACCCCGTCACAGAACTGAAGAGACAGAGCAAGTGCTTGGCCTACAGTGGCAAAAAAGCTCAAAATTTAGGCAAGCCACCTTGCCCAAGCAGTCAGATTACGGGGAGGGGGAAGGCTTTGGGGAGAGCTCTTGTGACTGCATGCAGAAGCCTACTGCTGGGGTGGCGTGATCCAGCTAAAGCTAGGGGAGATGCGGGGGGGGGGGTCACTGGCTCCTGCCCCTCAGGGCTCTCCCCTTGCCTGCAGGGAGCCAGTCAGCATCTCCTCCTCCGCACTCCAGTCTGCACCACAGTGAGAGGCAAAGAAGGGGCAAGATTCGGCAGTTATTCCGTGGAGTGCTGTGGACACACAAACATGCCTGCTCCTGGGGCCAGCTCAACCCATCACTGTGGAAAGGCACGCATGCCTTCCGTCCCCTTTGGATAAAGCACTTCATATAGAATGCTGGCAAATTAGCATCCTTGGCCAGGATTTTTTTCCTCCTGTGTTCATCAAAAACCACCACCGAGGAACATTGCAAACTAGCTCTTGTCCTTACAAAACAAACAAACAGAGAGAGAGAGAGAGAAATAATAGTTCTTGTGATGCTTATGTACATGTGTAGAACATTGCACTTAATTTCGTATACATCCATTGGACATTATCTTTCTTTAATATAAATCTCTGTCAAGAGGACACGGGGATGGGAAAGAGGGAAGCCAAAAAACGGAGTTCCTCTTATGTACAGTTCCATTGGCTCAGTTCGACAGCACAGGCGGCTCTTCCTTTGCAACCTGAAGTAACAGCCCCATCTCTCCTTCCAGTCCACTCTGGCAGAGGAATGTAACGTTATAAATATGATTGATCTTCAGCTTCGCACTCTCTCCAAGCTCCTTCTCAGTTCAGTATCTATTTTTGTTCTTGTGTCTCTTGCAAGAAAGAAATGCCCTTGGGAAGGAAAATACTTTCAAAATCCTCAAGACAATAAGTCTTGGAAAATACTGTGGGAAAAGTCCCATCTTTGGGGATTGGGCCCACAGGGAAGCCATTTTTGCTTCTATTAGGGCAGGCCATCCAAAGGTGTCACTCTGAAAATTCCGGCCCTCTCTCCAGGCTGAACCGGCTGTCTTTGGGATGATGCTGGACGAGTGGTCCAGGTGTCTCTAGGGCTACTCCCCAGATCCCAAGGTTCCATCGCTGGCAAGACAGTAAATCCTGGAAAATGCTATGGGGAAAGTCCCATCTTTGGGGATTGAGCTCACACGAGACAGGTCACTGGCAGGATGATGTGAAAAGAAACCATTTCCGGTTGCTAGATGCAAAGGACATGAACATCACCAAGCTTGTAGTGGACACTAGAAAAAGAGAGATGCAGAGGTTAGAGGTCATACAGCAAGTATCCTGGAGAAAAGGAGCACTGTCAGGGGGGCAAAAGCAGCAGTATTTTCTGACGTTCTGGGAAACGGGAATTCACGCAGAAACTTCCATGGCATTTTCCAAATGGCTTCAGCTGATGAGGCTGAGATGAGTTACTAGTTTCCAAATCTTTATATGAAAGTCTGAAACATTGCCCTTCATGAGCAGTCCTAATAAACAGAAGCGCACATGGCCTTAGTTGAAAGCTTACACTGGTTTGTACCGAGGCTGCTTGGGCAGCTGTGTTTTGAATTTTCAAATAAGGAACTGGGATCTCGTAGCAACCAATGTATGACTTGTCTTAAGAAGAAGCAACTGGGAAGGCTGCTGGCCGCTTCACACTCCACTGGTCCATAAAGACACCACGACGCAGACATATTTGAAAAGCATAAACACATTTCAAGTATCTGATTTTTGCTGTGATAGTTATGGTATCCCTGCCCAATTCCCAATAGCCACCCATGGTTCATCTTTCAGTGCAAAGAAGGAGCGCGTCTCTCTCTCACATACGCCCACACAGACACACTCACTCAGAGAAGTTTTTTTGAAAAGGGGTGGATTGAGGAGCTGGGCTGGGGAGGAGAAAATGGCAAAGGTCCCTGGTGTGCACTTCCGTTTGTGTTACCTAGGAACCAAGGTCATATTGCTGGGATGGGTAGTGGGGATAAAGTTCGTGACATGAGCATGAAGAAGTTTTATCTATAAAACAAAAAGACACCGTGTGTGTGTGTGTGTGTGTGTGTCCGTCCCCTTGTCCCGGCACCAAGATCACAAGACCCAGACACCTGAAAATTAGTATATCTAATAAGGAGGCCCTGGAGAGCTGGGGAGTGAACTCACTGGGGAGTTCATGTGTGCTTTATTTTGTTCTTAAAGCACAATTCAATGTGTCCAATCTGTTGAAGTCTGTAATAATATCTTCAGTCACTAGAGGGAGACTCTTCTAACCAGCACATAACATCTGCATCTAGAGGGGATTAGTAGGCTGAGAAACTGTTGCATGGCTTCTTCCTCCCCTTGGCTTGGGGCAGGCCTCCTCCGGTAACTGGGGTGGACCAATCTTTCTCTTGAAGCGCTATAGGGTGTACTGCTGCAGGCGGTGACCCCCAGACAGGGTGAGCAGAACAGTTCCAACTCAGCAGTGTAAATTTGTTTGAAGGCGTTGCTGTATCCACCTAAGAGCTATTCTAGCCCGCTTGAAATCAGGTCCAAACACTCGTTTTCCGCACCAGAGCAGCTGTATTACTTGAACTCGTTCCTAGGAATATATGGAAAATAGCTGACTGCTGGTGGTTATCCCAAACAGCTTTCTTTCAAGGTAGGCTGAGTTTTCTTCACTGCCACTCGAGCCCTCGCTACACTTCCCGGGGAGGCTGAGCAAGCAGCATCTTGCTGCATTTTGATTAAGGGAGTGCTTCCGGATCTAGGCGGGCTTGTTTCAACAAGCAAGTCTCAAAGTCAACCGGAGGGCAAGATGCAATAATCAATCAAGGGCAAAGTTAGGGTTGAGCAGGTAGGAGATGAATCGATAGAGCCTCTTGAAGGAAATGGTCTTCCCCAGGAACACGGACGCGCCTGGTTGCTTGACTGATGGAGATTGGGAAGCAAGCGGTTTCCCCAGCTCATTACAAAGGGTGGGAACCCAACAGGAGTGACAGGCCTCGGAAACAACACTTTTGCCTTCAAACATAGCAAGAACAATGTTTCTCTCAACGGCCCACTCGCTCAAGTTTAATACTCTGTGGAGACCACATTCCGAGATAACTCAGTGACACGTGGCATGAAAAACCAAGCAGAATACAAAACATTCCAAAAGAAACTCTCCAGATCAAGTGCACGGGCCACCAAATGGCAAATTAAGTTCAAAATAAGTGTGTGCGTAGCAAATATTCAGCTTGGGGCCCAAACCCAGCCCTTAAGTCACCTCAAATAAAGTACTTCCTCTGCCTCAGTTCCTCATCTGTACAACGGACACAAGAATGGCTTTTTCTACTGAGAAGAGGAAAAATGCAGGGCGAAATATCTTGTGTCCTGATGCAAGTCCCGGGGCAGGAGAAGAGGCAGTGCTTTATAGTGGGGTAAAGGCAAGGAAGGCGATGTTACATGCACAAGCCTCACCCTTTGATGTCATCCCAAACTTAGCCACAGAGTCCTAGTCACAAAGAGGGGGAAGCCAAGGATACACGCTGTCCCCATAATTCCAGCCAAACAGGTTCCCAAATGACTTCTAGGCTCATCTCCATCCAGAGGCTACTTTAAAAAGGCTGCATCTCCCATGGCTGTTAAATTGATGAAGAGCGACAATCATAAAGTTGCCACCAAAACATCACCTCCTGTGAAATACTGAGTGGATTCAGAGGTTCTGCCTCAGACAGCCCCTTTCAAAGAGGACCCAAATGCATTGTCACAAAATGTGTTTTGGAATATATCTGACTTTAGGCATCTGTAGGAGGTTGTCACTGGACAACCGGTGAAGTCTGGCAATCATTCATTTTTGTCTCAAGTGAAAATAATTTGGTGAAGCCCAAGGGAAGACAGAAATCAGAGCTTTGATAAAGAGCGAATTGTCCCAAGGGGGTTTCAGACATATCACAATGGATGTTAGTGGATACTATCACTTAGCTTGCTATCACTTGCTGATGTTACTTCAGCCTAATACAACCTGGTGCTTTCTGGAGGTACTACGGGAGTATAATTCCCAGAATCCCCCAGCCAGTTAGTCTATTATAACTAGCAGCACTCAGCAGGATCGGGATCAGGTGGCAGGAATCTGATAAATCCAACACTCATTCAATCTCAGCTGGAAGTTCCGCATTGGCTCTGCAAACCTAAGGGCATATTCCAGGAAATGTTGGGCTTGTTTGGGAATCTCGTTGCAAGCATTCTTGAACCCAGCCTCTTATTAATTTTTTGGCACACCAAGAGAGGTGTGTGTGTTTGTGTGTTTTAAAGTGCAATGGCTTATCTGCTGAGAAGTTCAAGGCTCTCTCTCTCTTACCTATCTACTAATCGATAAAGGGTACATATTTCCCACACTCTGCAAAACTGCTTCTGAAACAGGAGGGTGTGCGCACACACACAGACACACAGAGAGGAAGGAAAGAGGCCCTTTGGTCTGCTATGAAGTAATGTTTCATCGCAGAAAGCAGCACGACAGGTTCAGAACAAAAAAATGGACCATCTTTTTATTTTCTGCAGCAATCTAACTCTCAACTTCTGTAAAGTGGAGAGATTTTAATTCACAGGTTGACCTCACCTAATTTGTTCGGCTTTCTCCTCCCCAACTGCAGGAAAATATATAGCAATATGTTTGAGATAACTTGCTCCCCTGCATGCCTCCGCCCCCGCCCCCTGTACCCATCCACCCCAAGATCTACTGTTCCTGGGCAGTCTTTAGCTCAGTATATCAGTCCTTCTCCCCCTCAGTGGAAGGCTTAGCATGAGGATTGCCCCACTGGCTCTGCTCCATCTCCACCAACTTCTGCCCTTGAGGTTCTGCCCTGACCCACAAAGCATCACCCACTGGCACTGCCAAGCGATACCTCATCTTTTCAGGCACTACCCCTTAGCTCCCAGACTCCACCACCGCCTACATTTCAGGCAACCCTAGAGGGACACCAGTAGGACTCCACAAGCTGAGAAGCATCTCTGTGTGTGAGCTGGCAGAACTCCAGTTGTGTCCAAATCCATGGCTTCCTTTGGTGCACGTGTGGTCAGCCCATAGTCCATGGGCTTTGTGTGGCCCTCAGACACTCTCTGTGCAGCGTACAGGACCCCGGAGGTCCCACCTGCCATTCCCCAAGACGTAGCTGATCAGCTTCCCTCCCTGCACCCCAGCAATTCTGTGCAAGATTCCCCATCTCCCCATGATCCCAATTAAGACCACTGTTTCCCGATTGGATCCGAATTGCTGGGAGTGGCTTTATCTTCAACCCACCCCCTGCAGCAGTCCTAACCTGAGCTGGGGAGGCCGTGTCCTGGCCCCACCCACTTTTGCAGCCTCCCCCAAGGTTTCTGCCAAGTCCAGTGCCGCCTCCCCCCACTGCCAAAAGGCCTCCCGGTCTTTAAACAGCACTCGAGCCATATTTACCTGTTTACTGGAAGACATATTGGTTAACGAACTGATGCTGCTGGTATCCGTGACTACCATGGCCGAAGGAAACCGGGACGTGTGGGAATACTGAGGGGGCTCCTGCTTGTGCACGTACACTGTGGGGAAAAACAAGACCAGCCATTCTGTAGTGCAAGGACGAAAGGAAGACTGGCGTTCATTTTAGAGAGCCATACGCCACCCCAGTGCAGGAAGCCTCTCCCCCTGTGGTTCAGAGGCAGAGAATCCTTCTGGGTAAAAAGAACAACTTGCTTGAACTTCTTGATATGTAATTAGAATGATGGTCATCTTGTTTGAATTGCCTATGGTATTGTTGAAACTTTTTTTAAAAACCCTTGAGAATAAGCACATGCAGCCCCGGTTTGGACTGGGATCAATGAAGACTTTTTCGTCTTTCAATTTCTGCATGAAGGGTGGTGAGGAGTTAATCCTTTCCTCTTGTCGCATGATACTCCTAATCCAAACTGAGGCTGAGGACACTTATTCTCAAGTAGGGAAGAGGAGGAGGAAGCGACAAAACAGAAGCAGAGGCAGAAGCGGGAGATAATAGGCTCGGTGATAGCTTATACAATTAATATAAAATGACGCTTCACCCTAAAACAGAAAGCATCCATTTTTATTAAAATATGCTGGAAAGCACACAGGCAATGTCAGATACGGTCAAGGATGACGTAACTGCTACATTGCATCAGCTCCTGCATGCGCAGTTCTGTTTGCTCCGTTTGTCCCTGTCTCCCTCGATAGATTTTAGCCAGCAGCTTTTAGTGACCATTTTCTTTGGCTTCCCCTATAGTTCTTCCTCTATATTATCTCTCTCTATATATATACACACATATACACACACACAATACTCTATACCTCTATACTCCTATATATATATATTATACTCCTCTCCCTCTATTTATTTCCCTTACTTAAAATTTAAATAGTAAGGAACTTGTCCTTATTTGGTTATATGTAAAGTGCCATGCATAGTTATGAAGTTATATTAGAAACAATAATATCTGGGCTGCATAACTTTCAGGAAGCAATTATATACAATTGTAAAAGCAGAAAGATTTATGCAATGTTAGATAAATCAGAGAGCCATGGCTTAACTTGAGTACCATACCTATGTTGTAGAATTCAGTTTTGCTTTAAAATTTGGGCTATCTTGTAAGCAGTTTTGAGGGGACAGTCTTTCTTTAAAACAGAACACCTGGAGTCCTAATCCAGCTCACAGGGGTTTGCTAGACCCCAACCCTTCTCTGAATCCACCTCCTTTTCCCCAACCACTGATTGTTTGGCAGTCCCAGATTTTGTGCAGATATTTCCCCATTCTGAAAGGCTCAATTGCATTCACAGTGCTGTAGGCTGCCATTTGTATCTATGCTTGGCTGTAAAATGAAAAGAAACATAGAAATAGAGCGAGTCAGAAGGGGCCTCCCGGGCCATCTAGTCTGACCCCCGGCTCCAGCTGGCTCTGCTCACAACATGCCCACCACGTGCATGTCCAGCCTATCTTTGAACACCCTCACCGATGGGGTCTCAACGACCTTCTGCGGAAGCCCAAAAGAAGGCCACTGCAGCCTAGTTTTCAATTCAGATATGAAGCTTGCTGGGTGATGTTAGGTTAGTAACTGATTCTCAGCCTAGCCTACTTCACAGAGTTGTTAGGAGGATAAAAGGGAGAGGAGGAGGAGTAAGTATGTCTCTGAAAAGCAGTCAGGGGCTCCAATCCAGATCAGTATCCAAGCAAAAGAAGTAGGAGAGAAGCCAGCTTCTTGGATTGAAACAAGCTGCTGCCATACCCAACTGCAAGGAATGCTTGCATGGACCTGCCTTGAAGTACATCAGAGTGTGCCCTAGATTTTTTTTTTTTAAACTTGAACCCAGAACTCCCAGGATCCCTCCCCATTGCTCATGCTGGGTTAGGATCAACAGGAGTTGTAGGTCAGAACATCTGGAGGGCCACCAAGTTTAGTAAGAAACCGTGGTTTCCTGTTCCATCAGAAGCAGGTCGATCAATCAAGAGTCCGAATATCAGAAAACTCTTGCGCTAAAGCAAGACTGTTCCATGGAAACCTCAACTAAGAGGTTTTTTTATTTAAGCGGCATTTTAATTGTTAATATCATTGAATTTTATCTGGCCAGGGCAGCTTATTTTATATTGGTATTTTTGCATTTTTAGCTTAATGTTCGTATTTTCTAATTTATTGTGATACTTATTTTTTTTAACTTAACGTTGTAAGCCGCCCCGAGGCTTCGGCGAATGGGGCGGCATAAAAATGTTTTAATAAATAAATAAATAAAATAAATAAGAAGTGCCAACATTTGGCTGTTTTTCTGCTACAACCCCGCCACCACCTCCCCTCCCAGCAAGACCCGCAGAGACAAAGCCTGCTTCTTAAGCCCCGCTTTCCCCCGTAGCAAATACCTGACAAGATCCTTACTGTGTGAGTTCTGCAGCTGGGTCACCGTGGCCATGAACGGCTGCTGCGCCATGGGGTTGGACGACTGCTGCATGATCGGCTGCTGGTGAGGGCTGTGCAGCTGCTGGGAGAACTGGACCGGCTGTAGCGCCGCCAGGCTGCTGGCCACGCTGTTGATGACGGGGACGCTCTGAGCTTGGGAACTGTTTAAGCCTGGGAGAGAGCAAAGTGGGGGAAAATCAGGGTCCTTTGAGGGTATCGGGCGCGAGGCTCAAGGGGCAACGGTGGATTCTGCTAGGAAGCAGTACAAGTAGACCTTAACCTGTTTGTTTGTATTGGAATCACACTGCATTTCAACGCCTGCTATTTCTAAACAGACATTTAATGTTTCTTGAAAGTTTGCAACGATCAGATTGCGTTTTTGAATCTGATTTTCCGCAGCAGAGAGAGGCGAAGAGGAGAGGGGGAGCAGGGCCATTCCAGCAGTCCTGCTGGATATTTTCATTGTTAATATTTTCATCATCCCATCACATTCCTCTTTCCTTGTGTCATATAACCTGTTCATGCAGGCAGGTTGTCTTCTCCTCATGATTGCACACAAGCTGCTCTGGGAGCTTTTTGGGCTGAGGAATGGGAGAAACTTATTTTCAATATAATACATAAATTATCTGTTTTTATTGGGCTTGCCCTGCACACCTCTCTCCGATGAAACACAGACAGACTTGATGAAATCCATGCATCCCTGCTTCCTGTACTCAGCAAACACCGTATTCAAACCGATGGTGCTATATTTTTAAAAAAAGCACAATAAGGACGATCAAAACAAGCAGCACAGTCGAAAGACACTTACTCTGTGTGATGGCCATGACTCCCGATAATGGTGTCATGATGAGATTCTGAGACTGTTGTGGATTGTGATGGGAAAAGCTGTGGATATTGGTGAGCGTGCTTACTGGGGGAAGACCACCTCCAGAAACCGCAATCTGTTGAGGAAAGAAAGAATGGAAAGAACTGAGGCATAGACAGGCAATGTGAAAATGCTTCGATGCCCCATATTGAGGTTGAAAAGCAAGAATATAAAGACAAAATCCTGTGCTTTAGCCAAGAGAAAAATCCTACATCTTCCAGCATGCCTCAGCCAGAATTGCACTTCAAATTTTGCAAAACTAACAATTGCACTAATAGAAGTTTTAGAAAGGTCACTTGTCCTATCAAAAGCCTTCAGACTTCCTGGATGTGTTCTGCCTGAGTTGGGCCTTCAAAATTTACCTCAGCTTTGGCTATAGGGGAAAACCAGGTGCGTTTTAGAGATACATGGATCCCCCTACCAACCTTGAGTGGTTGGGCTAATCTTATCTCAAAATCCCTTTCAGCTTCTCTCAAAATTCCTACGAATGTTTCACTTGAGAAAATAAAGGCCATCCAAATATTTGCCTCACATTTCACTTCATGGGGGGTGGAGGGGGAATCCCTTTGGCAGCATTATTTCTACAGGCCTGTGTGACCCTGGCTGAGGTAGTTAGAAAACAACTCTGTGGGTGGAAAGCCAGGCTCTGTCAGGAGAGAAGTATGCATCCCCAGCCAAGAGAGAGGGAGGCTATAAAAATCACCCAGTGTGACATGAATCAGTCAAGCTGGGCCAAGAAAAATAACCCCACCAGAGGAATTTCTAGAATATTCTCATACTTCTACCATTCAGAGCTGGCAGGACCCAAACAAAGACGGGGAATGGGCAGAATTGGAGCAGGGTCTGGAAAACCTGTAGGGAAAGGCCTGGAGTGAGGGGATGGGGATAAGCATCTCAAATTAAAATGGGAATATTTGCAGTCAACAACTTGGCCAAATAACGGGGGGCTTACTGAGAGCACATCAAGTACGCCCCTTTGGCCACACTCTGAGGAAAAATCGATGGTCGTGAGCAGGCTGTCAGGGGAAGTTCGTCCCCCATTAGTAAACTTTGCATGCCTGGCCTGAGCGAGAAGCATCTTCACGCCCTTTCCCCACTGCTATTTTGATTGCCTACAATGTCTGACAACAAGGCAACGTTGCTGGGAGACACTGTGGGCGATTACAGGGGTGGCCCACTCTTGCTCAACAGCAGCTGGCTCCTCCATCGGGAAGTCTGTCCGCCTCCGCTTGCCACCGGAGGGGAAATCCGCAGGACAAGCCACACGCCAAGAGAGCAGCTCACGGAGGCGTGGAGGTCCCCACGCTGACTCAGGGGCCTCTGAGAGGGGCCCGAGCCAGGGGTCAGCCCTGCCTTCAAATGCTGGCACATCTGATAAGCTTCTAGGGGGCGCGCGGGGTGCCGATGTGTCCGCATCCACACAGCACAGACCCGTGTCTGGAGTGGGAGTGGGCAACCCGTGGCCCTCCAGAGGTTTTGGCGAGGCTGGCTAGGCCTGCCGTGAGCTGCAGGCTAAGACTTCTGGCAGGCCCCCTGTTGTAGAGGGCCTGGGTTGTTTCTAATTACTGTATCCAGTTCTGGTTTTAAAATAAAGAACCATAATTTGTTTCCCCATTAAGCCCCTAGACTGCGGACAGAACAAGCAGGCAGTCCAGTCACCTTTCCACAGCCTCCTGGCACTACGGTGGAATATTCTATATTTCCATTTTAATAATTATTTCCAAATTCATCTCACTATATTCATATTAGCATATATACTTTGTTCATCTAAGTCATCCTCCTTTGTCCTTTGTTGGTAATGTGCTTGATCTCTTGCTTTTTGGGGTGGGGGTTATACACACCATCCTAGTTCACCAAAGCACACAATGAACAGTACTGACCTAAAGAAAATATTATTTCTTTGAATATTAAATTAAATATTAATACTTACAGCCAATATGCTGACCATTGACTATAAGAAGAAGCCCAATTTTCTTCAAAACCTCACACCTTTGTATTCTTACCCCGAGGAAAGAGACATTCCTCTAGGCCAATTTGCCTCAGCCAGGCCACCATGTGAAACAAAAACAAGCTAATTACAAATGCTCACAGAACACACCAGCTTATCCGGGAAAAGTGATTAGGCCAGAGAAATATGAATTAATCAGAAAAAGGAACAGAGTCACCTGACTTGGGACGAATTTGACCCCAGGGGAAGAAACAAAACCTGCCAATGCAATCACCAAAAATTATATTATAAATTCAGAGTAAAGTAATAAAAAATGGACTGCATGCTCAGACTGACCGGAATACCACATCCCTGGAATTCAAACATTAGAAAAATTCCTAGGCAAATTCCAATGCAAATTCTGATGATGATGATTTTGACCTGCCCAGGACTGGGAGACAGATTTTAAAATGTATGATGTGTTTCGCTACTTTTACAATTTGTATTTTCTGATTTCAAACGGATTTAATCTTATGTGTATGCGTAGGATTGCAGTTTAAGGGCCAAAAGGTGCCTTTCAATGAACAGTGATAAGTTATCGTTTAGCTATAAGTCATAACAAATTCTGAAGGGACATTCAGAATTGAATGACAAATTTAGTTGTCAATTTCCTGGCCAGCAGCAAAATAAGGAAACATGTAAGGCTACTTAATTATGGTAACTTTAATTATCAGAAAACACACATGGTCACTAGATGTAGCAAAATTCTTCCAGAGACTAAACTCAGATAAATATTTTTCAAAGGGAGCCTTAGAAAGAGGACACTGGCTAGTATAATGGTCAATACTGTCACTAAAACACACAAGAAATCTGTTTCAATGGCTAATAGTGTCCTAAGAAAGGAGGAGGCATATTTAAGACGGTTGTAATGAACAGACTGCCAATTTTCAAAAGCCTCCCAAATAGAATCACCCATATTTTTTCCTAAGAAACTTCTGTCCCATTAACACTAGATGAATGGGGGATTCAACAGGGGTAGCTTTTCCTGCAACAATGGCAGAAGCTGCCCCTGTTGGATTTCTGCCTGCTGTGATAAGAAAATACATTTCTTTTCTTTTTTGCCCTTTCAATGATTTCTGGCAGTTGATTTTACTGATTAGAATTTATATGGTGCCTTGGATATTTTTAACAATATTGACTGGGATATAATTAAAAATAAAATTAACGAAATCCTGAGCATATCCATAGCTTTTCCATTTCAATCCAGCAGAGTAAGGGATCCAGAACCCTTTAAAAAAGCTGAAATTCTGCCTATCCATTCTTGGATGGGGAGGAAGGCTGAAAGCAGTGTGTATTTCATTTGCAGTGTGTATTTCATTTGCAGGGTATACTCATGCGCAGCCCTGGCTGTTGGATCAGGAAGGGGTGTTTACAACATCACTTTAATTTTCATTTGCTGGCCTTTATTCCCCCCCAAACAATTTCATTTCTTTTGTTAGTGAGCCCTTTGCAGAAAGAACAATTAACATTTTGGAAAACTGCTGTAAGCTGCTCGGGAGCTTAGAAAATACAGTGGGACATAAATCAAATAGACAAAGGAATGGCATGCGCAGCACCCCGATTCCTAACCAGCAAGGGAATGGTGCTAAAAATCTGCTGTAGGCATGTGAAAAGTCCTTTGCTGGGGTCAGGGAGAAAAAGTAGTTCAGCAGAGCTAAAATATTATTCATTCACATGGTAAGGGCCCTGGGAAGCAGGGAAATGGTGATAATGGAAGTTAGGTAGATAGAGCTGACTTGGGAGTCCCTTCACTGTACTGAAACTGAAGGTATAATTCTTCTCTAGAGCCCAAGTTTGAATGATTCTGAAAGTGTACCAAAATAAGGAAAAGTAAATCCCAATTACATTGTGCCTTTGCCATCTTATCTGAATGCAGTACTCTCATCTGGCAGGAAGTATACATAACACTTTTTTGAAAGACCTGAAAACAGAAGCACCCACTCTAGTCTCCAGAATATTTTTAAACATCTTTTTACAGCATGGATGAACAAATAAACTGATACATACAGGTACTACTTTGGAAAACCATCACCAAGAAAACAGTGAAGAATCCTCCAAAACAGCACAAGAAAAAGAAAGCTGAAAGCTGTCTGTCATTGGAGCTGTAAAATGAAATAATGCTGTGATTGCCCCCAAACCAATGGACCTGCTATGACATGGGATCTTTTATGCTATTTCTGTCTTGAGCTGAACTCATTCCACCGTGGTTAATTTGGAGTCGTTTCTTTCTCCATGTGCTGGAAGGCTGAGGCAGTCTGGATCCTTAATTCCTGCTAAATATTTTATTTGTTGGTTTGTTTGCTTGGTTGGTTGGTCGGTTGGTTGTTGATTGCCCCTCTACTGCTCAAGAGCCAAAGCTTACACATTATTTTCAGGTGTTCAGACCACAGAGTCTTCTTTCTCAGACTGAAGTCTGGCCTCCCTCTCAAAGACAGGGTAGTGCTATCCGCCTTCACAACATTCCCAGCCTCTGAAGCATGGACTCCCCCCACACACCCCAGTGGACTGGCATCTGTCCAATTCGTGTGCCAATGGCTCTGTTTATCAGCTCAGGTTGATATACCCGCTATGACACTACTGTATAGCGATAGCCTAGTTAAAATGGACCATGCTCTGGCCACTGCTGGTTTGGATCGCCACAACGCATTATCCAGCAATGCTGCCTTGGAAAACTTCAGCTGGTCCAAAATACAGTAGTGAGACTGTTAACGGGGACTGGTCGATATGGGATTACACCGTTGCTCCGTGATCTGAACTGGCTTCCACTCTGTTCCTGGGCCCAATTCAAAGAGCTGGGTTTAAATTTTCAATTCCTAAATGCCTAGAAAGCAGATTTCCTGATCTCCATCAGTACATTCCTTCCTCCACCTGATCATCATCTTCAGTGGCCCTTCTCTTACTGCTCCCACCAAATGCAATGAAGTGGATAGCTTTTTGGATGATGATGCTCCCTTTCTGCACTGTCCTCCTGAAACCTACATTGTGGTCTTTTGGGTACCAGACGGACACCTTTTCGATTCTGTGGTTTTGTTTTCCAATGCGTGTGGCATTTTTAGATCTTTCCTTGCTTCTTGTTTTTATTTTGATTTCATTTTGCTTTAAACATTTAAAGGCTTTGTATCAATGTTTTACTATGTTGCATTTTAGGGTTTCAATTCTGGTGAACCACCCAAAGAGTTTTGTGTATTAGGCAGTTTAGAAATGTAATAAATAAATAATTGATTGAATTGTTGGTAAAGCTATTATGCTAGTTTATGTAAGCCTGCATGGAGACCTTTATGGGAGCGAAAGGATCTTGGAAGCTTTGTTAAATGAAATCTAAACTATTTCAAGATCTCAGCACAGCCTGGGACAGATAAAATTGTGACGTGACATATATTTATCCATGGGAATGTCATCAGCAGCAAAGAACAAACAGCACTCCATCCCATCATTCCACTTTAGGAGGCCTCCAATCAATACAGAGACAATGTCTGTTTGTCACATTTATTGGCGTGTTTCAAAGTCTACGCCACTACTTGCTGCCAGGGAAAGGTAAGGTCAGAGCACCAGCTTTTACAGAGCGTACGTTTTTCTCTCTCTCCATCTCCACCAAGGCTTCATTGTTTAATATGTCTTGTGCAAAAAAAAGGGAGAGGAAGAGAGAGAGGGTTTTTTTTTTAAGCAAAAAAAGAAAGTTGTGTTTGTTTTGCCCGTGCTAGGCCTTTTTATCTTATCAGCACCTGAGCGACAATGCACCAGGTGTACTCACCATTTTACCATCCGGTGAGAGCAGGCTGTGGTTGTGGCTGGGGTCTAGACCTGCCGGAGAGACTTGCTGCAGGACAGCTTGGCTAGTATTCACCATGGAGCTGTTCCCGTGATGACTAATGGCGGAGGAGGAAGTGACTTCATTGCTTCCTGGTTGGCTGTAGCGGACTCCTGGGGAGAAATTATCATCATCAACAACAACAACAACAACAACGCCACCTTAAGTGCTGGTTTTCTGTATTTGCTATTCTGATTTATGTACTGCCTTCCAAAAGAAAACCAAAGCACTGGACACAAAACCCAATGGCACAAAATCAACCATAAATATGGCAAACCTGCAGCAGAGTGCAAATTAATCAGCTGTAAAACCTCAAAGCAGAGCTGGTCCATTCATGCTTACAGGGAAAGGCTCTGTCAAGAGATGGCTTTTAGGAAGAGGTCTGACGGTCAGAACTGTGGGGGCCTGTTGAGTATCAGTTGCTCCAGAACACAGAGGGTCCCACTACAAGCGCTCGTAAGGCAACACTCTGGAGCAGGAGCCATCTTCAGAAAATGTTGCTTCTCATGATCACAGAACGTCAGGCAGGGACAGAAGGAGAGAGCAACCCCTGAGTTAACCTGAACATGGGACATATGCTATGCACTTGTGACCATTCGTGAAAATCGGTAGGTCCTTTACACGACATTGTTCACCCTCCAAAGCCTCTTGCGTGTTTTGTAATCATTTTGCAGGTTTTCCAAAGAGCGAAGACAGTGAGGTATTAAATGCTAAAGGCGACAAAATGGAATATGTTCATGGAATTCAGTGCTTGTACTGTACCACAGCACGATCTTATGGCTGTATAAGTACAACAGGTAAGACAGGAATGGAAGCAAACAGGGAAACATCCACGTGTAAATGGAGCTGTCTTTCTCAGCAATGAAAAGGGTTCGAAAAGCATCCAGAGTCAAGCCTGGATATCATTAAGTAGAATGATTACAACAGGCCTGCTGGATTGGGCCAAAGGCACATCCTGTTTCCAGCAATGAGCACCAAGGTGGTTTTGCCAAGTCCATGAGAAAGAGAATTCTCTTTGGCCCTCAGAAGTCCTGAAGAAGATGCCTTTCTGCCTACCAGGAATGTCACTGTGCAAGCTATTTATTGCACCTTTATACGGATCATAAATAAACTGCAAATATAATTCCAGTACGGCATATTGGTTGGTGTGTGAAACTATGGCTGAGAAGCCCTAGATTCAAATCCTTATTCAACCACAAACATCCCAGGCTGTTCTTAGGCCAACCATTATGTGTTAGGCTAACCTTCCTCACAGGGTTGTTGTGAGGACAAAAGACAGGGTGGAGAACCATACAGACTGCCTGGAAGTTCTTGGAGGAGGGTCCTGTTTGCAACAGCTTTGTATGTACAAAATGGGAGCACGTGAAATGAATGATGCTTTCCTTTTCAATAAAAAAACAATGGATGAAGTCAGCATGACTCTGAGCATGCAAAGACTGTTTCTCTTGAATGTACAGAGCTATATAGTCCGTTCACAGTAGCTGAACTGTGAACCAAGAAATCTCTAGTGCAAATCTAATCTCTGCTTTGAGTGCACAAAGGGATCTTTCTCTCCCAGAGACAATACTGGCCTACCTGGCACGGCTGTTGTCATCTCTGTCCTACACAAAGGCATATTTGTGCTCCAGCACCTCTCTTTGAACTTTGCAGAACAAAGCCATGGGCTTCATGTTCAATACAGCCACATTTCTTTAAGGATGGACGAGGAAGCAGCTCCTTATAGTGGGTCAGAATGCAAACAGCACAACTTTCAAAGGACAAAGCTTTAACCCCCAGAATGCATCCGGACCCTGTTGCAAAAGGACCTTCAACCAGCTGAGCCATTTTTACATGTTTTGAGGATATGTAGTTTCTTGTGGTTTTCAAAATGGCACACGCCTGCACAATTAATGTCAATTAATGCCATTCATATTCATTTCATTTAAAAAAAATCCCACCCCATACAGTTGCAATGATTGGTTTGAGCTCAGGACTGCGACAAAACACATTTCCTTGTTCAGTTTTACCAGTGTTGAAAAGCATCTTCCATTTAGCTAAGTTTTTAGGGCTTCCTATGACTTCATGTGAAAAACAGGCACCAATTTCATCTCTCTGTTTCATTTTTATACAACCCAATAGTCAAAGGCCTGAGATTCAGCATCCCTCAGACAGGAGAAGTCACAGCACCAACTAAGACCGAAAAATATGACTATGTGCACAGTATTTCTCTAAAGAATTTTCTATTCCACTGTAGAACAACTATTTTCAGTCTGTAAAGTAAAACTAGAAAACTTTTGCTACAACGCCTATTTAAAAGAAGATGGCCAGGCAATAGCTAATGAAATCCCAAGATGGACTTGGGAAAATTTCCACTGGTCCATGGTAAGGGCATCCAGTGCCTTAAAGAGGTTTTTGGCTTATATGTTGAGCAAGTGCAGAATATATATATATTCTACAGAATATGTAGCTTTGCTTCATTTACAAGTGCCAGTGTACAATTCCTCTTCTTCCTGCCCCAGAGACTGGAGACAGAAGTATGGATCAAAGGCAGTAGGAATGAAAAGCAGCAGAGTTCCCGGAGTGGGCGGAGGCACTCGCTGTTCCCCATGAGTCCTAACCCTGACCTTGGGGTTCCCGTGGCATCCTCTAATCTCAGATCAGGGCAAACATTCTGCACCCCTTCTGTAATGCGTATCTACCACTTTTCCTCCCAAAGAAACGCTTTATTTATACATTTTGTACTGTTCAAATAAGATAACAACTAATATCCTCTAACCCTAATTCCAGGCCCACAAATTCAGACACTTCCTGTGCTAGCAATGCATTCGATGTATACCAGTAATGGCGAGAATAACAGGTGCTGAACTGTGCTAAACAGGTGTACTTTGAAGGTATGAAGAAATTCATTGTGCACTGGTTTAACTTGATTAAAAATAAATGTTCAGAAACTTCAGAGACAACTACAAGGCACGCTGGATGCCACACTGGAAAGCGCATCAAGCAGATCAGAAATAATTAACCAAAGCAAGCAGGTGGGAAACAAAATGCCTTTCATCAGTCCTGGGACTCCAAGATAATTTGTTATGAAGTGCCATGCATCGCAAACCAAAAGCGTTGTTCGAAAGCAAGCCGTGGAGAAGAGACTGTCTGGGTACCAGATAATGCTGAACTCCGTGAGCTAAGAGGCTGTAGGGTCGCTGCCGCTGTTCCTATGGGAAGGCCGTTCGCTCACAAGAGAAGCACGTGTATTGCTGCAGAAAGACCCAGATCCAGTCCCTGGAATCTTCAGGTGAAATTGAAAAAGACCTCCCAAAGCAGCATGTACTCAGTCAGACCACCCTGCCTTGTATTTTTCATACTCAGTTACCTCTGCTGGCTGCTTTTAGCTGGAGAAGCCAGGATTGTGGTCTTTCACACAGCTTCTCTGCTGTGGTCCTTAAGACACGCTCCCAAATGTAATTTCAACATGACTCAGCTTTGCAGTACTTAATGAATGTCCCTCATTAACCCAGAAGAGCTGTTTTCCCCCCCGTCAGGTGCTCTCTCTCTTCACTTTTCTGTCTGTCTGCATTCTCTCTCTCTGATATCCCTTTCTCTCTCTCCATCTGCCACCTCTTTTCTTTCCTCCTGATTCCCCTTCTCTGCCAATCTCTGCTCTTTTCTCCAGTCTCTCTTTGGCATCTCCTTCGCACTTTCTCTTTCTGACACCTGCTTTTCTCATATTGTTCTTTCTGATGCCCCCTTTTCCTCCCTGCTGCAGTGCAAAAAGCAAAACATGCTCACCAGAACTCTGAACCGATAATTTGCAGGAAGCCTTCGAAAACAATCATGCAGATGCATGAAATCGAGCCAAGGAGAGCTGCAAACTAAGCAGTTTGTGCTACTAGGCCCTAGCCAACTACTATAAGAAACAGGGAGATTGGATCGGATAGACCCTTGGTCCAGTGCACGATGGTTTTTCCTGTGAATGTACATAACCATCAGATATACAATCAACGGCTCACGCCCTGCAAACCCACAGCACTGAGTGCAACCTAGGGTAGATGCTTGTATTCTGTCTGAGGACTTCTTCCAAAGATGTCTTTGGTTCTCTCCCTTTTTACCCATCCCTGATAATGGAAGAATGCTTTTTGACAAATGGACATTTGCCAGCACAAGTGGACGTCCCGGACATGAACAGGGTAAATATTGCTCAACGTGAAGCTCTGTCACCCACATTCTTGGACTGTATTCCTAACCTCATGCAGAGGGTGCCCAGGCTTGGGGCAGATCAAAAAAATCTGAAACATTGTTTGAACAATGGGAGGTAGTATGAACAAAGGGAGTTGGGTCTTTGTGGGCTGGGGTTTATTTTTCTTTTAGGAAAAACATAAATAAAACCCATTCCTTCAATTTCCTCCTCCCCACACAATTCACATGGATTTTGCAGTAAGAATTTAGGCTAAGGAGTGTGAGCTGTATGATGGAGGAAATTAACTTAAGAGGAGAGAATCAGAGTTTATAGAACCATCCATAAATAAATCCTTTCTTCTCCAAGAAGCCTGAGGTGGTATATGAGATCCCACGCCTTCCCCCTCCTCTCCATTTTTTCCTTATAACAACCCTGTGAGGCTGAGAATCAGCAACTGGACCAAAGTTACTCAGCCAGCTTCATGGCTGAGCAGAGACTAGAATCCCAGACTCCTGAGTCTCAGCTCTAACTACTCTTTCAATGAATATTAATAATATAATTAATAACACATTTTAGAATTAAATAATGCCAAATGTTAGCTCTCTGGCTTTTCTTGTAAGATGTCATATAGTACAATTTTAGTCCCACTCAACTTAAAATTTCTAGCTATGGGCTTATTAGCCGACAAAGGTGCTTTTGGCGAAATGCACATCTGCTCTTCATGGATCCTGCTCCTTGATTACCTATGGTTTGTAATCCCTGTTGCATTTTATAACTTGGTGGGAATAAGAATTAAGGATTTTAGGCGATTTAGGATTTAAGTTGCATTTTCTTTTCTTTCTTTAGTTTTGCAGAATTATGATTGTTCTTATTTATTGCTTTAATTGTTCTTATTTATTGCTACTATTGTTGACTATAATTTTATTATTATTGCTATTTTTAATTATCGTAAGCCGTCCTGAA